CAGGGCAACGGTGACAGCCGAGGGGCCACGGTGACACCCGAGGCGCTGGCAGAGGTGGCCGGTTGCCTCCTGGGCCACCCCAGCACAAAGAGGTGGCCCCAGTGGCCCTTGTCCCTACCCGAGACGATGTTGACGATGTGGTAGGGGATGCCCAGGGACTGGTAGAACTCCTCGGCCGTGGCTATCATCTCCTCAAACATCTCCCAGGACTTGTTGTCGTGGGGGGAGGCGTAGACGAACTGCTCGATCTGCCGAGAAAGAGGGACCCCCACGTCAGCACCGGCACCGGGTACAGCCCCAAAATCCCCGTGGGGGATGCGTCCCTGTCCCCTCACCTTCTCGAACTGGTGGACGCGGAAGATGCCGCGGGTGTCGCGGCCGTGGGACCCCACCTCCTGCCGGAAGCAGGTGGAGAGCCCCGCGTATTTGATGGGCAAATCCTCAGGTCTCAGCCACTCGTCGCGGTGCAGCGCGGCGATGGGCTGCTCCGAGGTGGCGATCAGGTACTTCTCGTCGATGGAGCTGTCCTCCGCCTTCTCGCTGCCTTTGCCGATCACCTGGGGGGGGACAAAAGCCACTGTCCCCTTTCCTCAGCTGCTCCTGTGCCTCTGGGGACAGACAGTTGCTGGCAGTGAGGTTTTTCGGCGCCTGGAGTGGGGACTTTGGCTCGGGAAGGGGAACAGCTGCTGGTTTGGCCTCCTTCAAAGGCCTTGGTGGCCTCCCGCCAGCCGGGCTGGGGACGGCCACCTCCCTGTCACCGCATCGTCATGACAACCGCCTCGGGCCGTGTGATGGACCCAGAGATAGGGAGCAGAAGGGAACTGATGCTGCCGTGGCCTCGCTGGGGCAGAGAGGAGCTCAGACATCGGCTCCCTCCCAGCAGGGGAAGCCCTGTGGCAGTGGCCCGGTGGGCAAGTGCTTGCCCGAGGGGGCTGGTGGTGGCGAGACGCAGGGCGCCAGCGGGCATCGCTCACCTTGTAGAGCTCCTCGTCGAACTGGCTGAGCTGGGCCACCTCCTGCATCACCTCCTTGCGCATGAAGAAGGGGGTGTAGACGGGGGTGTAGCCCCTGGCGCGCAGGCTCTGCAGCGCGTACTGGATCAGGGCCTGCTCCAGGAACACCAGGGGACCCTGGGGACAAGGGAAGTCATCGTCTGTCACACGCGCACCCCTCGCTGCGCCGTCCCGTCCTGCTCGGCTGGTCTGGGAGTGCCTCGAGCCCACGCCAGCTCCGGGCTGCTCCCACTGCCAGGCTCCGTGTCACCACGGCGGGGACATCGGAGCGCATCCGGAGGTGCCCAGGCCGTGGTGGCAGAAGCCATCCCATGCGATGAGCCAGCCATGGGACCCCTGTCCCCCCTCATTTCTCCCAGCTCCCATTGTCCCCATGCCCCTATGGGAGTCCAGGCTCTCACCTTAAGGAAGTAGCCCCGGCTGCCTGCGACCACAGCCCCCTTCTCTCCCTCGTAGCCGTCCACCATCACCACCAGGTCCACGTGGGAATATTTCTTCCTGCAGCTGCAGTCGCCCCAGATC